CCACCAAGTTATGATTGCACACCAACAATATTGTATTTATTGTCAAATTTCGTCAAATTTCTCGTTAAAAAGGTCACATGTGATCATATGTCCATGCTCTTAAGGGCAATTTTGTCAAACCTCCCCGTACATTGAAGAGCATGCACCAGTCGTACAAATCTCTAAAGTACTAATAAGAATACTATAGAATGAATAAAACAATTAAAAGTTCCATTAAATAGCAAAAAAAAAAGAAGATTTAAATCAGGGTTATTTATACTAACACCCTCTCTTCTTCCCTCATTTTCCAAAAAAAAAAAAAAAAAAAAAAATTTCGATCCTATGTGATCATTAGTGGAGACGCATCAGACTGTCTCAATTTTGATGTTAGATCGCTCCGTTATTGTAATGGCCCTTTGTGGCTAGTTTATATTGGCCCTTTGTGGATAGTGGCTTTTTTGACTGAATTATAAATGCAATCCTAGAATTTCTATTAAAAAAAAACACTGTAAATTAGCAAAAGGAAAATCTTATAAAAGGTCAAGTAAGCACCATCGATCAAACAAACAAAAAGCCAAGTACGCACTTAGAGTGCGAAATTCAAAAACATCAACATCAATATGGAAAGGAGAAATTAACAAATATATTGAAAGAGAAATTAAAATGGGGATCAAATTGAAAGAGACATAAAACTATAACATCTGTTGTAGCTTTCTTTTACAAGCAACATATTTCATGCCATTAGCACCATAGATTCATTATTTTCCTATAAAAATATGATAATCAAGTGCAAAGCAAAGTTAAATGTCAGCTATCAAAGACCCAGTCTTGTAGGACAATGAAGGGGACATAAATCTTATACTGCAGCGTACCTAAAGTGTAAATCTCGTGTGCCATCAAATCCCAATCCTTGCACGCGGACTTGGGAAACAAATTCTCTTCGTTTACCTCTTCCTACCCGCGTCAAGGTTTATTTGGTCTTTTTGGGTTTGTTTTTTGTACGGTTTGAAGTATGATATTACCAGAAAATAAGAATACAAAAATGAAAATAAAAATTCGGGACCCTCATAAGGGGAGGAGCTGCCTCTAAGAGCGGTTCCCAATCCCCAAATTCGTCTTCCAACGAGCTAAAGTTGCCAGGCACGAAACCAGACCAACCCTCAGGCAAAATGAGCTTAGGCAAAATGAGCTTGTGCTCTAGACGTTAGCAATAATTTTTTTTAAAAAAAAAATCTAAAAAAGTACCAAAAAATTTAGAATTTTTTAAAAATAAATACTTAGTCAGACTCTTCACTTCCCACACCAAAACTCTATACAAATTCATCTCCTTATATCTCATGTGAATAGTTGTTGCCATGACAATGGGTGAAAACACCACAAGCCTTTTGCAAGGGTTGCCACTATTTATGTGAATAGTAACAGCCATTGCCTTGCCCTTGCCCTTTGCCATGGCAAATGGGTGGAAATGCTCTAACCCAGGTCATGGTGGGGGTGAACACAAAATAGGGGTGGCAATTTCCGATACGACCGATACATGACTCGAAATCTGCACGAAAAATTAACGGGTCAATCCGCACGATTAAATTTTTGGGTCAACCTGCCATCATTGGCAGATCCTAGAATTTTTCTTCCTGGGGGCAAGAACTTGTAAAGTCTGGCCTAGCTTGCATTGGCTAATAGAGCCTACCAACAATTTGTAAGTCTTACCTAATACAACCCAAGTCTCAGCCATTCCTTTTCCCCTTTGCCCTACCTTAGTTGAGGCATTTTATCAAATAGTTTGCCCACATTCAACAGAAAATATCATGAAAACTTGGCACCTTCATAGGTGTAGAACAAGATTGAGTAGGGGCTAGTGCCTTCACTGGCTCCTAACTAGATCTGTCACTGCCCGCCAAGACCCGTTTAATAAATGGGTGGGTTTCGAGTCAATCAGCCAACCTGCTAAAATACTTATGAAACCTGTTTATTGAACAGGTTATGCCAACCCGTGTAATACCCATAACTTGTTTCTTTGTTTCTTCTTCATCTTCTTCATTTTTCCCTATGTTTTTTAATTTCTTTTTCTCAATCTTTATACATACAGAGTGGTAAAATATAATCACTATTTTTTATAAAAATAAAAAAATAAATTTCAAACAACAATTACTTGATTAAATTATCTCAATTAAGGTTTTTTGATTGTTTTTTTTAGGACCTTGTGAATTTGAGATGTGAGTCTTCCGTTGTTTTTACTTATTGCCCAATACTCAATTATGCAAGTAATTTTTGTATGAGACATGTAAGTTATCCCTTCTTTTTAATTTTTACCCAATACCCAATTATGCAAGTGATTCTGAAAAGAAAAAAAAAACATAATAAACTTTCTTTGTCTACCTTTTCAGCTTTCTATAGTTACTAGTTGCTACCACTTATTGACAAAAAAAATAAAAAATACTAGTTGCTACCCCACATATTGGAGAATATAAACTAGAGGAATGCAATCAATTCAAGTCAATTTATTGGAAGGCATTTGAAAACATTCTTATTTTATTATGATAAGATATCAAATATAGTGATTTTGATAATTTGTTAAACAGGTTATTGACCAAGTAACTTGTTTAATAACCTATTGAACCCGATCTGAACTCAACACGGGACGTTTATTAAATGGATCGGGTTTGGGTAGAGCATTCTTGACACGTTTGTTATCTTGACACTACATGACGCGAATGATTGCCATGCCTAATACAAATTCAAATACCATGGTCTTCTTAAGGAGTTCGGATTCTTTACAAATTTTTTTAGAATAAAAGTAAAATTTCATTGATATGCCCAATTACAGGGAAATGGCCAAAAGAAAAGCCCCGTGAACAGGGAGGGTTCAAGCCATAAAATGAATACACAACAAGCAACACAAGGGCCAGAACAATGAGCCAAAAAATTGACCAATAAACTAGCTCACTAGAAGCCAAACCATGAGGAAAATAGGGCAATCATACTGTTCAGGAGTAGCGCCTAATCGGAACCTAGGATGCCAAGTCGGCTAGGACTCGAGAAGGAGACAACATCCAAGAAAAATGGCATAACCACTTAGCTACCTCTTGACGCTCAACCACGCACGCACCAGAGCACCATCTCATATCAACCAGGACCCAAGCACCGAACCTCTGCAATTCTACACCAAGGCTTCTCGTCTCGAAAGTAAAAACCCTAATCCTCACCAGAAGAGACATTCATGGCAGTGAGATATATCCACATATCTAAAACGGATCTTTACAGAAAGAGACCTCTGCCAAATCTAAACAAAATCTAGAGGCACGACTTAAAAAAAACTCGATATTGATGAGTAGTTTTAAATTTGCTATCAATATATATTATGGGGCCTTATTACTAATTTTGTATAGGGCCCCTAAAATTTAATGGCCACCCCAAGTTGGAAGTATTGTCTATATCAACTTTTATTTTGTATAATTCAGTCAAAAAAGCCACTAGCCACAAAGGGCCATTACAATTTGGGGCTCCTCTACTACTGATTATGCAGGATCGAAGGAACTCTGTCATATGCATCTCAATTAAGAGTGCAAACTCAGAACAACCAAAACAGATAAAGCTTGAAAAAACCAAGCCATAACAATACAAATAAAACTCTCACATAAGAGAGGTGGAAAACTCTCACAAAGAAGAGGTGAAAACTCTCACAAAAGGAGATGTGAAAACTATACAAAAAACACAAAGAATTTTTGCGACTTATTCCAAACATGAAGAAACTGCAAAAATGATGGTGGTAGAGATCTAACACCGTAACGTAAGTGGAGATTCGACGCCGAGACGTATATGCTTGTGATAAGTGGAGAAAAATCATAACAAAACAAAGAAAAATAGGGAAAGCTTTCTGTCTTTGAAAATGGGGGAAGAGAGAAGGGAGGAATGGAGAATGGGAGTAGGGAGGAAGAGAGGAGGTGAGAGGGGAGGAAGAACAGTGGCTTCCTCCCCCCAACAAAGTGAAAACGGTTCTAGAGTGTTTTTTGGGAGAAAGGATGCTAGGGTTTTCGGGAGAGTTTATATCAACATTTATTTAAGCACTAACCAACCATGCAAATCTTATGATTCTATACATGATATACAAATAATATTTGATCGGATCGGATGGATATAGTGCCAAAGAGAAAAGAAGGGGATATTGAAGAAGAGGATGAAAGAAGAAAATCTTCAATCTATGTTTTAAGTTATTCACTAAATAGGACTGAGGGTTCACATATATTTATTGCTTTACAAGACCCAATATGAGGAATGAACTGTCTATCTAATTGATTTGTGGATTGTCCCACACTTACCCGACCCTACGAATTATTCTGCAGGATTGAATCCTTGTTCTTTCACCGTTGGGGATTTTTTATTTATAGAAAGATACACCGTACGGATTTTTGGAACCATGGCAAAAGTTTTACCTTGATCTTTTTGTGTACCAAATTGAGATCCACAGTTTTCATTTATAAATTTTTGGTGGACTTTTTTTAGAAGGATACAATTTTCATATAAGCCCAACATGGTGATAGAAAAGTTAGGTGTAATTGTAACTACGGATTTTGAAAGGGAAAATGTTAGGCTTACCACATTTTTCATACCACATTGTGTACTACCTCTCTAATAGAGGTGGAGCCCATGTGGGCCCACCTCTATTAGAGAGGTGGTATCAATGTGGTATCAAAAAGGGAGCATTTTTGCTCACCACTTTAACCATAGGTGTACCCTCACCATTATCCTCAATGCTTTACACGTGTCCATAGGTATAATCATGATTCCATAAATACAAAGCAAAAGTTAACTATGATTATGTCTATGAACAAGTGTCAAATATTGAGGATGGTGGTGAGGGTACACCTATGCTTAAAGTGGTGAGCAAAAATGCACCCTATGAAAAATGTGGTAAGCCTAGCATTACCCTTTTGAAAGTTTGGTGTTGAACCTTTGGAAGTTGGTGAATCTGTCACAAGAAAGCTCAGAGACATCAAAAGTAACTTATTTATACAAAACAGAAGAACAACAATTTATATAGTTATATCATATATGTATACATTTAAACTATATATTGAAGAAAGATAACAGTACTAGTCTGCTTGATTATACTTAATTAGCAGTACTACTCGTCTAAGATTTGGTTTAAAACCCAGGAGAAAAAAAACACACAATAAAACCACTCCCCACAAGCTATATAGTGGACAAACAAAAGCAAAGTAAAAACATATAGAGAACTGCTGAGCTTATGCCATGCCAGCTTCACACACAAGATACTTAAGGTATGCCAATGATAGGGATGAAAGGAACATAATAGCTTGAGGGTGCCAAGCCCCACTCTGGAGGCACAGGCAGATTAACGGTCTTCGATGAGCCAAACTTGTTCATGGCTTTGCAAGCTGCCTCTTTTATGTTCAAAGGGCATGATGTGGTGAAACCGAGAGGAGTTGAAATGGTGTAGGAGTTAGGCTCTTGGGTCTTGACAATCTCAGAAGCCATGACTTTCCTCGAAGCATAGAGCTGGTCTGGCCCTCCAAGAATCCTGGCAAGGCAGTTCATAGGAGATTTTGAGTTGCCTAATGGGAGCTTAGTCTCAAATGAACCATCTTTTTCTGTTGTTGCCATTGCCAACTTTTTCACTTGACCACACTTCACCAAAACCTTAATTCCTGAACCATAAAAAAAAAACGAAAACAAAAACCACATTTTGTACACACTTAGGGTTCATGAACATAAAAATTTAAAAAGAAAGAAACAAATATATATAGAGGGAGGAATATTAAGGACAAAAAAGAACCTGAGAAATCAGTATTCTTATGGCAGTCAAGGCAAGTGACCTTGGCCTTCACAACTTGGCATGTGGAGAGCTGAATGTTTGCAAGAGCCAGAGCAAAGAGAAGTGTTGTTGGGAGCACCCAGGAAAGCGCCATGGAAGCAAATTACTCACAGAAACAAAAGGCAAACTTATTTGAAGAAAAGATGACTATGTTGAAGCTTATATAAAGAGAAGATGTGAACAAGGCCTATTAAATGAATGGCCAGTTAGTAGTTGGTCTGACTGAAGGACCTTTAAATTTTACTTGTCCAGAATTTATGGGCACGTGACTTTCTTTTACATTTTCCTGGTCACCCTGCTGAAGCCACCCTCTGCATCAGACATACAGATGTAACATCTCTAATGGCTAGTTAATTAATATATAGGTACTTACTCTTGATAATTAAAAATGGGTCTCTGAATTTTTGATGTAGGGGACCATGGTACATTGTATATTTTGTCCTGCTTTGTACATGGTACAATGTTTGGTTTAACAGTTCCTATATTATTGCTCCCATTGTCAATTGAAAACCTTTAATTAGTATGTTGATTTGGCTCTCTCTCTTTTCTCTTTTTTCTTTTTCTAGTATAAGCGATCAGGGAAGAGAATTTACACAAATATTTATTGAGTGCTTGGGAGTTTGGAACCTCTGCTCACATGGATAGAGGAAAAAGAGCTCAACCAACTGAGCTATACCCCACTGACAATCTCTCCTTTTCTTTGCCTATCTCGTTCTCTTCAAATCTCATCCATTAAAGCTAACTTGAACATAATAATTATTATTTTTTGAAAGCTAACTTCATTCACCCAATGAGCTAGGAGCTATTTTTTTCCGTAAATAAACAATTGCAAAATACCAACTTTGCTAGGAACTGAGCTTTTTACTTTCTTAACCTCAACCAAAAAGTACCTAAATTCCCCCATCCCCACTAATTGGAACCATCCAATTAAGCTAACAAACTTGCTTAAACGTAATCTAAAGTCAAACAAAGAAGGGACAAGCTTTTTCAAATAAAGAGCGACTATATATATTTCAGATTCAAAAGTCTTGCTTTAACTAAAAAGATTGAGAGTCTTATTCCATTGTAAACAATAATTTCAATGAGAAAAGTGCACTGCTGGATTCTTCTTAAATAAAATTAAACCGTTAACATTTGAAAACTGAGGAAAGCTAGAGAAAATGAAAGGGACAGAAAAAGAGAGCATCCCTTTATATTCACCAATAAAGAACATATAGCAGCTAACAGCATCCAGCCATATGTGACAATGGTTAGTTTGGAGGAAGGACAAAAAGAAGAAGAGATATTTAGTTATATACTAATTCTTAGAATTTATGATATAGATAAGTCCTACATCATTTTATTTTTATAAATAAAACTAAAATAAAAAAATGACAGCTGGACCTATTGAATTTAATTTTGATTATTAAATTACTTTGATGCCCTATGTAGTGTTTTGGGTTTTTTATATGAGGTTTGGGGTTGGGCTTGTTTTAATAAATCGATGGCCGTTTTGTAATTTATAAGAAGTTAAAAGCCTCTTTGTTCTGTTGTAAATGGACTTTGGTGTGTTTTTAAAGTCCATTTCATATAGGGGTTTTTTTTTATAAAATAATTTGATCCCCTATATTGGGTATAATAGTGAATCTCCCAAAAAAAAAAACCCAAAAAAATAGTAAACACCCATATTCACTGATTTTAATCCACTTGGATTGTCAGTAGGATCCACAAAAAACAGTGGCGGAGACAGGATTTCATGTGTAAGGGCCTCTTAAAAAATATTTATTAAAAATAAAATAAAATTGAACTCACAATACATTCCAAAGTAACCAAAAAGACCAAAACATCATACATTATATATACCTTTTTTTTTTCTTTTGGTAATCTACAAATTAATTGAAAGATCCATTGAATTTAATAGAGAATAATTAAAATTTTCACAAACCCTAACAAACCATAGGCAAAGAGAAAACTAAAAAAAAAAAAAACAGAGAAAGATTAACAATCTTAATTAAGTGAGTCAACTCAATTGAAACTTGATAATTTGGCAATTTTGTTTTGTTTTTTTTATTTTTAAAATTGATAATATATTATACGGAGAATAAGAGAATAAGTAGTCACAAATTTAGAGAAATGGGTGAAAATGACTCTTAAGTTTGAAGGACTTGTGTAAAAAATAATAATATGTATACTAAATTTTTAGAAAATTAATCAACGGGAACCACACTGGGAGTCTCCCACACTGGACCCTTAGTGGCTCCGCCCCTGACCACATACCAATATAAATTTCAACATCTACCTCTTTCGAAGCATCAATTCGATTTTAGCACAACAAACAGGGAAGGTCAAATTAAATACAGTAGAAAGAACATTAACTTCACTGCAGGAAGGTTGTTGATTATTGCTTTCTCAATATTTATGTATCTTCTGAAAATCGTACCCAATCCGCCGGTTCATGCATTAAGTTTTCCTTCAAAATAAAGTCTGTAAGGAAAAATTTAGCTGCCTCCCCATCAACTACTGCCTGTGTCCTACATTGTCTTCTAAATTTTTAATTCGGCTTTGAGCTCTCTAAACTTTCAAAACATTTAGAAAAGCTAGTTCTTGTGAGTTCACCTCTTCAACTGGAACTTAACACACACTATGTTGGACTGTTGTTCAATTTAACAAGTTCAAAGTCCCAATAGTAAGTTTGTCAAACATCGAACATACATTAGTTCAATTTAATTAAAATAGTCCAGTCAAATCCAATCCAACTTATCTAGGAAATAATGTAATAGTCCAATTGTAACACCTTTTATGTTTATTAGAATATTAGTTTGGCCTTTGATAATCTCCTTGTTTATGATTATTGCTTTCATGCTACGTGCAGAGGAGCACAAACATAAATGTGGGACAACCAAGATTTTACCTGTAAATTAGATCAAGAATTTAATTTATAGAGTTGTGACTGGTGTGGTCCTACAAGGCCAAGTGGCCAACCAAACAACCCGAAGATCTTTGCCTCCAAAGTAATTAACTTGTGCTGGGGATAATATAGGTCCTAGCTTAGGGCAAGTGGCCAAGGGGAATTGGGTTGTGGTGTCCCTCCATTAGCTGGTTCTTCAAGATAGGTTCCCTTTGGTCTAGACATATCTTATTAACTGACCCACAATGTTTGAGTCACATGATCTCCCCAGCATAGCATATGTTCATGGTTTTTCTTTTCTTTGGTTTTCCAGGGTCGAGGTATCCATGTCAAGATATTTTTATTTTATGGCATGTGATGCCATAAATGTGGTTCAGAATTTTAACCTGGGAGCTCTAAGTTATGATACTGTCAGAGTGGCTAATCAATACATTTTACGTGTACAAGTTTCCAAATTTTATTAGACGGCAAACAGCCTTAAAGTTTTAAATGATTCATGACTTATGGAAATAACATTACAAGCAAAGCAAGTTTTTATATTCTAAAAACGTCGTATTATAGTTTCGTTATCGATGCTGTTAATGCTTAGTTGAGTTGTACATTACAATCTCTCACTAAGACGTGCTATTAAAGCTTTGATATGATGTTTGCGGGAAATGATAATCTACCTCTTGCTTATAGCGGCTTAAAACTTTTGGATCTGATATTTTCTAGCATTGTAACTTTTATGCATTATATATAATACTAATAACCGAAAAATCGGTTTTTCTCCAGTACTGCACTTAGTGCAAACACTCTTTCACATCGTCCAACTAGTATATTGTAGCATGAGTCTCTGATTACCCGTCCAAGTGCATGCTCTACCACTAAAAATATAAACATTAACTGTTCGCACTTAATGCGAAGAAGAAAAAACTGCTAATAAAACGTCATATGAAAGATACTCTTGTATATAGCTCACTGGCTAACACTAATATATCAAATAATAGAGTGATTAGGGCAGATGTCATGTCTAGATTAGAAAGGTAACCTTCACTTGGCATGCATATATGGTAGGAAACAAAAATTAAATGAACAACGAATTCGGGGATGATGAATATTGCAGCCCCATTTTCTTGTTGAGGCAAGAAAGATTATTTATTGGGGAGGTTAGATGTCCTTCTCCGCACAAGGTGAGTGTGTTTGTTTCAAGTTTTAGGGTACAATGCCACCCATGATATCCATGCATATTCCCCCGACCATTCTCTTTAATAATTGCACTCTCAACTTGCAAGTATATATGTATATCCGTATTGAGGACTTATCGGGCTACTAACTTGGAATGAGTCTGAGCTAGAATTCTAAGAGAATGATAAAAAGAGTGAGGGGCCAAGGCCACTGCCGGCCTAGTTTTCGCTTCTCCCTTGCAAACTTGGTTAATAGTTCTACTCGAAACATTTCTAACGACAATTCCATGCATTCTATACCTAATAGTTCATCCAGCCATTAATCATTCCAATGCACAACGGCATTCGGTCCCAGATCTCTGAATTAAACATTACATATACTGCAGCACATAAAGGTAGCTAGAAATAACTGAAGTTGGCACCGAAAGGAGAGTAGGTTATTGCATGTTAAGTTGTCTAAGCTAGTGTAAAGTGTTGCAGTTAATGTACCAGACATTTGATTTGTCAGTCAGTAGGAGGAGAACCTCATTTACTCATTTAACTGAAATAAGATACAATTTACTCATTTAATTGGTTTTCAATCGTTTAGCACTTGAGCGCTATATATATATATATAATTTAATCAAAATACAATTTACTCATTTAACTGTAATAAGATAAATAGACTAACACAATGGTACCTATAAACAACAAAAATTCACAATGTTAATCAAATGGCTAAACATTATAGAATTATGATAATTTTTTCCAAGGATGATCCTTAATGATGAACTAAAATGAACTGTTTGAATCATTAAATGACATGGTAAACTGAGCTTGAATGAGTAAGTATCCCTGTATTAATTTAATTACTAACGGGTTCATTTGCACATAAGAAAATGCAAAAAAAAACACTCTAGTTGCTCTCTCCTTCCGTGAGTTCCAAAGAAAAACTCCACAGAGAAGGGAGGAAGAAGAAGTGTCATTGCCTCAAGGACAGACCCAAAAATCTGAATTTTCGTTTTCCAACTTCCTTCGTTTTGGCAGTTTTGAAAACCTAACTTCACTCCAATATTTGATATTACAAAGTACTTCACAGATCAAAGGAACATGAGAGCC